GCAGAGACTCGCTTATTGTTAACTGGGTATCCTCAATTGTGCATAAATCGTATGATTATAAATGCGTATCATCCTAAAATGATTAATTTATGTTTATTTTGATGTATGCAAGATAATTTTATATTAAACATTTATTTGAAAATCCCCCCTTTTCAATGCTGAGTGTATAAATCTATACATGTATCAATGTATTGACAATGACAGTAGACAGACGTATTTACACTTTATTTACACTGAAGTCTTTATTCCAAAATCAAAGGGAAAGTGGTACAAATACATCATAACCATACAGACATATATCACAATAAAGCATACATGGCCCATGACAAGGGATTGACCAAAGCAGGGCATAACATTTAAACATTGAAAATACAGATTGTAAAGATTATATATTTCTGTGTTATCTGTATATGTTGATCTATACCGGTCGTACTCAATAAGTATAGTATTTTTTCAGGCACACTGTACATATGTTTAAGTCCGATGCATGCAAAAGAATATATTCCTATATCTCGTTTATATCGCTTAATGAATGTATTGGAAATGTAGGTGACGAATATATTTGATTACCATGTGTGTAATCGACACGTACACTGACTTGGTTTGATTACAGAATCATTTATATATTTGTGTATTTAACCAAATTCTCAGTTAATTTCATTGAACTAAAAGCTTTTTTATTAGTATTTATAAAATCACTTATATACATGTATATTGTCATGGCAACGGAGGGTTGCGAAGTTACTTCATGTTATATAACTCATTATCAGCGAGGTGATGTCATGGCACGTCATGATATTCGGCGTTCTGGTAGACCGTTCCGCCTTCACGGTCCACGTGATCCATGACGTCAGAGGCAGAGTACAAAGCATTATCGACCATGCTGTCATTGCCATCCTCAAAGATTACCTCCTGGTCATTTTCCTCGACCTCTTGGTACGTTGCATCGTTAGGAGAAAGGGCATACAACTCGTTATCAACCATACCATCGTTAGGGGCGCTATTCATTTTAGTCTGCAAAGTAGGGGAGTCTGTGAAGTCCATGCCAGTTACTTCATACACTTGTTGTCTTTCACTTTCGTCGGTTTCTCCGTACAGTTCGTTCTCCACCATTTGGCTTTGAGATTTATCGACACCCTCATGAGTCGGAATGGACTTGGATAAAACTCCTTTAAGTTGTGCATTCGGGATCGGCTCATCATCAGTGAGGTCAAACCTTGCAGCAACCCCAAACAACTGCACCTTCGGCGTGCCATCTCGAGACCCGTGCCCTGGCGCCGAGTCATTTGCTTCATAGAGAGCGTTTTCCACCATGTCTGCACCAACAAATTGAGTCTCATCTTCAAATGGCGCGGTTCTTGATTCTTGTCCTGATTGGACAATCACAGTCACGTGACCGTTCCCTGTGGTGTCTCCTACAAAGGCCCTGTTGTCTGTTCCTGCTGTTATCGCAGGCTTTCTATTGTCGTCTATGGAATAATTGTTTTCCTCTGACTTTAAATCCCGTTCTTTCCCTAAAATCATCTCTTGGCCATTTTTTGAACTAGGCCTTTTTCTAACGAAAGAATAAAAGAGAAACATAGACATATTGTTCAGCAATGAGAAAGCCATCATGGTTCCTTTCGTTACAATGGCTATCGAGATAGAAGGTTAGTGCATATTTGGCAATTATTCATTAAACTTTATCCAGATTAACGAAACAAAGATTAAATTGTGAGTAAGAGGGATTGAATAAGATTGGAAATATTGCTATATCAAATGAGATTCATGTGCAAGCAAATCTATACAGAAAAATCGAAATTAAGTGGAAAAAAAATGACATGAAGTATTTTTTTCGTCGACAGTGAGGGGTCTTTGCGCCATCTACATGAGAATAATGCTCAAGGGGTTGACAAGTAAGCTAGTCCTAATTTCTCATAGGAAATAATGCTACACCGAATCAGAATGAAGAACATAAGTCCTTTACAACCTATCTAAGAAAAAACCCAATTCTTAGCATCCTTCAACAAATTATCGAAATTCGAATTTTTCTCCACGAAAGATATTATCATGAAGATCTTTCATTATGTTTGTCTCAGATGAAGACGTGTCGAACGATATTTGGATAAGACGAGTTTTCCTCCGTGGTTAAGATAATAAGTTGTTAAGTATAAACGGAATGAACCCACTCTCCCCAAAAGAAGAAAATAATACATGGCTACCAAATTGCAATCCAACTAATCCAACATAAGAGCGGTCATTTTCTCAGTAGATAAGAGTACATTAAAAAAAGTCTGATGCGATTCAGAATGAGAAGAAAAATAGCAAATTAATAGAAATAGAAAAGAAATCACGGTGTTTCGAGTTTTGGCTATTTTAATACCTTTTTCTGACAAGAGCAACAGCTAAGATGAGCAATATAATGACAATCAGAGTCGCTGAAATACCTCCAGCAATGGCAGCTTGATAATCGAAGAAAGGGAGAGAAAAGGATATAGAAGAGAGAAAAATCATCATTGATATGTGCCCTTGGCCCTATAATATTTAGCGTCTGAAGACCAATTATACACTGTTGGCCATACGGGTGGAATAATTATTTTTACCCCAATTTATGGAATGATTTTGACAATGATTTATTCCAAATAGATCTAAATAATAGTATACATTCTCAGATTTTATTGAATAATAATTTGCGAGTGTTTGTTTTGCGTGACTGCTAAAGCATATGTGTGCTACTATGCTTATCAACTAGGGGACCTACGTCCTTAAGATTATGACGTGACTTTTGAAAATAAAAGGATGAATGCATGTCTATGCGTGTCGAACATACGAAACATGGAGCAAGTAAAGTACAGAGCCTATGGTGTGCACTCCTAGAACCTACATTCTGTATAGTCTCACAGCGCATACACTCTGTTACACACACCGACTGACAAGGCTTTTGTGCTTGCAAACTAAACAAACTGTGTTGGGGAGTGTTTCACGAAGACTAAAGTGACTCTCACACTCTGCCGTGTAGGCCTACCGTGTGCCACCGTGCGCGAAAATGTCTACGGACGGTGGAGAACGGCGAGGGCACACGGTGGTTCGTTATCAAAGCGGGCAACACGTTAATAGGGCGTTGGCGCTTATTTACACCAGGTGGGACCCGGCGAAAGTTTTGGGCATGTTCAAAACTTTGGCCGGCTGGCACCGGCCGCAAGTAAGCGGCAAGAGGACGGTGTTGAACGGTATGAGGACGGTATGAATACGTTATGAAAACGGTCACACTGTATGAACACGTTCCCAACACGCTCATAACCCGTTACAGAACGGTGATGAACGGGCAAAAAAAAAATCTACCGTCTGCAACGGGTTGCAAGCGGGTTGTGAACGTGTCATGAACGTCAGCAGTCCGGGGACTCGCTCACAGGACGCTCCGAGCGGTGAGGGGACGCTAAGTGACTGGTAGGTGGCTGCTACAAACCCGATGCACACGTTCGAGACCCGGTATGGGCCCGGTATGGAAACGGCCAAAATTTTCAACAAAAGTCAATCTGGGCGGTGAAGACGGTAGAAGCACGTTTGACACCCGGTATGCGCCCGATGAGAACGGTCAGAAGATGGCAACGAAACGGTGAAAAGATTAATTTTATGAATTTTTTTTTGCGGCCGGGGACAAGTTCGCTCAAAACCCAACGTTCAGGACTCTGATTTTTTTTTTAATAGCCCGGCAGGTGGACGGTAGGCCTACACGGCAGAGTGTGAGAGCTCCATTAGATCGACTTCAAGTTGGACTTAACTATGGGAGGCCTGTCATACCACTGGTCGCTCTCAACGTTGGTCTCTCAACTATGATCTTTAAATAATATTTTTTCCTTCAATAATGATGTATCAAAAAAGGTAAAATTCTGTAGATTTTGGACCATGATTTGTACGTCCCTTGAGCAACCAATGCCAGTAAATGGCGAGAGCAAACAGTAGCCTGCCATAGTTAAGTCTAACTTACAGTATATCTTAGTCTTTGTAAAACACCCCCCCCCCCCCCTCCTGATGTAATAATCCAACTCTGACCATAATCCTGATAATGCTTTCATCACACTTACCAACATTTGGCTTGGGCTGCGGCTCACCTCCAGAAGGCTGTGTAGATGTTTCACCTATCCCAAGAAATTAAGTAAAGAGAATTTCAATTTGTTAATATATTAAGTGCTTTCTTAGGATTGTACAGAAAATGTATGGGCCCTTACACTACCCCAGGACCGCCAGGTAGCCCTTCAAATACACCTTGGTCTGGAGGGGGCGAATGTGGGTAAAACACCTTCCAAGCATGTCAGCACTGAGGAAGGATCGAACCCGTGGCTTTTCATATGAGAGTGAAGCGTTCCACTAACGTACCACTGTGCTCCTATATAGTACAATAATGCTCCCACATTTAGGCAAACAAAGAAACAAAAACATGCCAAAATACAGTCATGCCAAAATAAGATTTAACGGCCGAATAGCTATTAAAGTAGGAGTCGAAAACAAAACAAAACTTAGGGGAATATTACGCAATAAATTACGATCACTAAAAGGATAATAGAAAATGTGAAAGATTGTTAACAGTAAATATATTCAGTACAAATATTTGCATCATTTATTTCGAAACCACAACAGATATTTCAAGCACCATGAACAGATTGGCCCTGTACTTTGCAACATGATTGTAAAAGGCTGGAGTAAAATAAGTTTAAAACCCTTCTGTATATACAAAATATATCATGTTCGGAGATCGTCATATGTCATGTAAATTGTCAAATGTAATGTTCACTCATGTCATAAAGGTGAGGGACAATGCTATTGAAATCGCCTTGGGTGGGCTTTACGAAACTCTTTTTCGATCGAGCTTTTCTCGGAGTCTCTTTTTAAAAATATATTTGTGTATCTAGTCCTTATCTGTCATCTCTATAGGTGAGACCTCATGACTCCTATAAACACAAAGTTGTTTAGCTCGACGTAAATGATTTTGCTCAATATTCATAGTGAGACAAAATTCATACTCAGGAACAGGTCCCGATTTGATATTTACCTGCTGCAGTTGAAGGAGAAGTAAAAGACACAGTATCAGGTTTAGAAGACGTACTCAAGGGGTTAGTCTCTGGCTCTGTAGGTGGTGTTGTCATAGCTGCAAGAAGTTGAAGGTGACGCACATATGAAGTCCATGAACACCATTTTGTTATACGATTTTCAAAAGACTCTCTCCTATCATAATAAGTGTTATCTTGTCTAAAATAAACTGCACTGAAACGTTGAAAATTAAACCAGCGTATTGTAATCTGCATCCCCGTGTAATGCTAATGATAATAAATCTGGATTTATAAACCGTTTAATACGGAACATCGTCTCTGAGCTCCATACCTATCCTGGGTATGGAGGGGCAAATATGTCTGTATTGCAAACGGATATTTGCGCCACGTCGGAGATTGACCCATAACCTTTTTATTTCTAGTCAGAAACATACAGTTTCTACATTTATTTGGCTATATGCTGCATCTGAAAGGTGATTGATTTGGCCTTTTTTTTGTGGTATGAATATGATAATTGAAAATTTTCGTTAGAGATAATAGGAATTAATGATTAAAACAATAAGATGCTCACTGATAATATTCTACCTACCCGTATCACACCGCAAGCCGGTGAATCCACCGGCGCATTCACATGTAAAGGTACTGTTATGATTAGAGCAGGTCGCTCCATTATAGCAGGGTTCCACGTAGCAAGGTGGGAGAGCTAGTCGAATGTTCAAAGAAAGAGATAGAGAAGAAAGGGTATTATATGCATAAATATGATTTGTTAATCGTATTTATTATAGGAAGAGGGAGGGAGCATTTTTTCGATGAAGTGGACGAGCTAGTCGAATGGTAGAAGAACATAATTATGGAAAGGAAGAGGAGGAGAAAGAAGAGGAAGAGAAAAAAGGAAGAGTGAGTATTACAGGAAAGAAGAGAGAGAGAGAGAGAGAGAGCGAGAGAGAGAGTAAAAGGCTAAGCAACTCTATTGAAGTCCTTAATACAAAAAAATGATAACGAAATTTAAGCGGAGAGACATAAAAAGGAAATATTTGAATCGGCCTTTTTCGTAATGTAACCAATTGTAATGGATACACGTACGTCTTTTACGAATTATTGTATCTAAAAAGTCAGAATGAAAATTATATGTACATGTGAGACATGCTTTTAGGTAGGGCCAGCAATTAAATGTCTGCCCTACCTAGCGACAACTAATGTTTGCAATGAAAACGTCGTGCTTTACCGCTTTATATCTGAATGAGCCGTACATGACTTCTTTTGGAGTAAGGGTCATTTTGGGAACTAAAAGGACAGGGCGATACGTACACATGCATGTAAAATTCGGATTGCTCCATGTCCCATCGGCCTGGCAGTAACTGACAGGGGAAGCATCGGGGAGGTATCCCGGTGAGCAGGTATAGACAGCTACTCCTCGATACTCCTCTGATGTAACGGTCACATTGGCAACATTGTCCACTTCAGAGGTGTTATTTGGACACATGACGGCTTAAAATAAAAGGGATGAAAAATGTTTTAAAAATACACATAGTTGGCAATATTGTCTACTTCAAAGGTATTCTTTCGACATGTGGCGGCTTAAAGAAAAGGGAATGAAAAAATAAATTAACATAAAAACGTATTGCGCGATTGTAAATAATAGCCAGTCAGGTATCAACAGAAAGTTTTTGTTATCTGGTCACATCATCAGTCCCTGCAAGCAGAGAGTCCCAAATAGTCCAATCGCATTGAGATCACGCCTGATGACGCCTGGCTGGAATGCTCCCCAGGGAGTGCAGAATGTGCTTACATTGTGTGTGGGCAAGCTTGAATCCAATGACCAGGGCCCCGTCTTACAAAGAGTTGCGATTGATCCAAATCGATCGAAAGTCCTCAGATCAATCTCTTATGTACATAGTTGCGATTGATTCAAATAAGTTGCGATTGATAGCATCCCTTTGTAAGACGGGGCCCAAGGTAATGATATGTCAATTAAGCGCTTAGAGACATTATGTATTAAGCTCTATAAAAGCAGAATATTTGTATTATTATTATTATTATTGTTTCGCTTCTGCTCTGTTGATGGTGATGTATCACTAATCTATTAATATAACTTATCGCAACTTTTTTTCTAACACATGTAACATAAGAAATATGTGCACCGCAGGCGAAAGTTGTTAAGTTGTTTAGGTAGTAATCAAATACATAGGCTATACAATTTGATTGACCAGAATTGATTCTCACCTGTCATAATACAAAACATAAACTTGAGAAGCATGTATTGCTAGTTAAATGAAGTTCCCGTCGTAGCTATAGGTTTTTTCTTTCACAACACGCCTTCTCATTTTACATTTGACAAAACTTCTAGAACATGATTTCAAAGACTTTAAAGAAGTAAGGGCACTTGTATCATTTTGTATTTCCTTTGGAAATCATGGTTGCACATTTAAATCAAGGCAATATGGGTAGGCCTAATGATATTGCCCTGAGTTTTTTTCTTGAACCACCCGAATAAAATTCGTTAAGAACCATACGCAATTTTTGTTCTTTTCTGAACTTGTGTAAGTTCAATACTTCGAACGAATTTTCACTCGTCCTATCTTCATTTTTGTCGATAATAAGAACGATGATTCATCCCAAAGCCTACCTTTACATACGGGTCTTTCTGTATCCCATCTGCCGTTCAGCATGCACGTAGCGGATGTGCTACCTTTGACCTCGTACCCCAGGTAACACTGGTACTCTATGGTGGCTCCATCTAGAAAGGTTGAGGTGTCAGAAGGGGTCCTCGATCCGTGAAGCGGCTCACCGGGATCTCCACAAGACGGCAAACCTAGGAGGGTAAGTGGATACCGTTACGTAAATTTGGGTCTTATTAAAGCTTGTTTAGATTTGACGTGGTAGACTAATTAAAAACAAACACACAAATAAACAAACATGAAAGACTGCTGCGTTTTGATTTCAAACTATGTAATAAATCTCAATTGTGGGCATAAAAGTTCCTACGCATATTTTGTATTAATAAACAGTCTTACGAAATTTTTCTCACAGAAATTACATAAACCAATGATTTATAATCGCCCCCCCCAAAAAAAAATGAAGTTGCGGTAATAGGATTTCTCACTATGCGACTCACGGTTCGTAGTCTCGCCGTATCAGACGTTCTGCTTAGGGTTTGTCTAGCAGCAAAGAAAAAAGCTCGGCACTCCGCCTAGATTATAGGCTAAATGTTACCCTATCGTAAAAGGTCATGACATTTAAACTAATCAAATTAATCCATGATCGTTTTTCAAAGAACACATTATTATTTATAGGAATATGGTTTGCAATTCTGATAATATGATATGGTCTATTATCACTAACAAACTGAGTGGGATTCAAAGCATTAAATTGCGGTTTATGTCGGAATTTAAAAAAAATCCCATTTCATCGTCGAAATTGTGTTCTATTTTTTTCATCTAATTTAATAATGCATTTGAGAATTGAAATGGAGGAAGGAAGTAAACATGAAGTCTTTATTGTTGTTAATGAGAGGGGGCAGTTTTGGTGAAGCAAATACTCTTATCGTCATTGTCGTGATTGTGCCGCCACTGAACAGTTCAAATTGTTAATATTTAGATACAGTTTCAAGTGGTTTCTGTATTAAATAAAAAAAAGTACTTTTTTTTTACCAAACTGGCAGACATGGCGCCTATCTTTGTTACACTTCTCGTCATTCCATTTTAAATTGATAGAGTTTGAGAGTTCAATGCAATTTTCGTTTCCCAAGTAGTCGTTCGGTTCACCATCTGCCCATTGGTCGATTAAAATTCTTGTGTCTGCGGAAAAATAGAAAATGATAAAAAATGTACCATGTGTTACTTGGATAGTCACTGCAATTATCTCCAATGTTGTATTCATTTACTTCTTTGTACTCTCAAGTCAATATGGTCATGGTAAAATCTCTTGCATTACTTGGTTCAGTGAACTATACCACACATATTGTTTTCCTTTTCAGCCAAAAGAATACAGCCCGTAGCCAGAGTCGATCATTATGCCCTACCAGGAAAACCACTAAAATTAAATAACTAATAAAAGCAAAATCTCCCAATTTTCAAATGGTTTAATTGGTCACAAAAAAGAGGGGCTTCCCAGACGGTTTGCTAGTAAATTCTTTATTACTTTCCATCCCATAATTCTGGTGATTCCAACGTCATATTGGTACAGATGTTCGGGTAGCAGTAAAGTGTTTTTACTCGGTTGGTCCTCAATAACCTACGGTGGTATGTCCGAAATTATTTCTACATCTACAAATTCTATTTATCAGAAAATAGTGTGTGAGAATTTAAAATGAGCACACACACACATACAAACACAACAAACAGGCACACTCAGACACACACACAAAGTCTCGTACAGAATGTTTTCAATCAGAGCAATTTAATGCAATTATCGTTTTTGTGTATGGAAAATGAAATGGTGCTTGAATCAATTCAGAATTTCTACTCACTGTCTACCCAGAACCATGATCGTGGCTCTTCCGGACTATCCTCATGTCCGCCTATCCACCACTGCTTGCCATCTCCGAAAACTATCCTCACCTCGTCCGATATGAAATCTTGGGCGCTCCTATCCAGGATTTCAGCCAGGTATCCACCCATGTCTTCGCAATAAGTCCTCCCAACATCCCATTTAGAGCTGTCATCAAAGAATTGGTAACAGTCTCCACGGTACAGAACCCGGTGGATGTGTGTATTCAAATATTTCCCCGAGCATGCTGAACTATCTATGTATAGAAACGATGAGAGAACACAAATGAGATAGGGTCAATGGGAAGACAGATACATATAAAATATTTCCAGATGTTTTCTCCATCTGAACATAATGTGACAATTTTTTTCGAAAAGTCATCTCGGGGTAATTGTAATACCATTTCGTAATAGCTATGCAATGCACGTTCGGATTACGTCATACGTCATCGAAATGTTCGCACATATCTCAAAAGTGATACTCGGGGTTATACAAATGGCCTTATATCTCATATACATGCATATCCAAAGGAAAGTGATGAATGAGATGAAATTGTCCTTATCAGAAAAATCAAAAAAAATATCGGTAGGCTTTTTTAAACGACAGCAAAACAGTAATTAAAATAGATTATTATTAGTATCGTATTCAGAACTCAAAAAGTCAATGCAAACTGAATTCTCAACAAGTTACCTTCGAAAAGTTAGGACTTTACTTCTTTCTTTTTGAGTGCCGTTTGAAAACGCAACGTTACCCTTGTGATAGAGGCTCCTGTGTCTCGTGTCGGTACTGCCCTAATCATCAACATCATTTATCTGGAATACGAAAATAAAACATTTTTTCTATGTTGGGTATGACTCACCAAATTGGCATATGAATCCCCTTAAGCTTTCACAGTCTTCATCATTCCAATCATTCTGTGAGGATGTATGTCTGATTTCGATGCAGCCTTCATCGTCATTGTTTGGCTCATCCTCGTCCCAAAACAGTCGAGTTATGTTTCTCCCGTCTGTACAATAAACAAAATTATTGTCTAAAACAACAAATTGATAAAACAAACAAATAACAGACAAAAGCCGCACTGCAATCTAGACATTACGAAATTCCCTTTTTTTTTTGTTTTTTTGGTATGTCATAATGTGTGTTAAACCAATGAAACAAAGTAAATGGTAGGTAATCGTTAGGAATACATAATAAGGTCCAACACCTGAATAAGGGTTTGATAAATTATTTCAACATTCTCCCCCTCATAATGCCATTAAAGATTTTCTGTACAGAAAAGTTTATATTATGTAAAAGCAATTTGTTCTCTAATTCCTAAATTATAGAATCGTGTGTGAATCATCTTTCGGTTGATGAACATAACATTTGGACTAATACCATCATCAACATATAGCATTTATTCAATAGCCCTCTCCGACTAATTTTGGAATGGGCAAACATTACAATAAAACAATAAATGCTATGGATTTGATTTATATGGGATATTTAGAATAGTAACAATAAAGAGTAACAATTGTGATAAAAGGTAAGGAATATATTATTACCACTACTCCACTTCCAATGTCTGCCTGCCTTTCCACCGATCCAGAGTCCTTCACCGATCACTAAATTGTCTCTGAGAAAATGTTGGGTTTCGTCATTTTTTACAAGAGCTAGAAAGCCTCCTTTGTTCTTGCAGGAATCCCTGGCCTCGTCCCATTTCATTTTATCGGCAGGTACATCAAAGCATGAATTTTGTTCCGGAAAAGATTCTTGACTATCCAGGCACTGGACTTTAGAAGTAAAATTGGATACCAAACAAACAAACAAACAAAGCAGAAACATAAAAATATCACATTTCTGTTCTACCATCGTACATGAAAATTGTGTCTGATCTTTAACTTATGCCATAGGACCATTTCACATCAACTAGCAAAGTACGGGGAAGTTGATATTTCGTCCCATATCTGGGAAAGCGAAAGAAGAGAAAAGGGGGAAAATGGTTTCAGTTTCTATCCTATAAACCAAGAGATTCCGAAAGTATAGATATGTTACTCTGGTTAAAAGTTTTGATATATTTTATAAGGCTTACTCCCATGAAAAAGAATTGCCAATGAAACATTTCCTTGATCAGCGCAGGATACATTGACATTGACCTTCTCTTTTAAATGTTGAATATTTTGTAAGTACGGCAATGAAAAAGAAAATTACAATATTCCATTTCCAATCCCAACAGTGCCCTATTTCGTGTGTTATATCCTATAGTAAAATTAGCACTATGCTTTGCCAGAGGACTCTAATGCCTACGCTGGACTCGAACAGGGTCATACGAAAAGCCCGATGACTTATTCAACATCATGACTTTACCACTACATACAGTTTGTCATTAATTCTTTTTCCATTTTTGGTTTATTTGTCATATCAACAAAATAGTCTACTGTCTAGTAAAAAAAATTGTACAAACATACTATCATCTTAAAGAATAGGACGAAAGCGTATATCCTAAAAAGTATACGTTTGTTTCTTAATAGACCTGATAAAATAATACACTATAAATATATTGTATAAGAACGAAAGTGAATGAAATACGAAGAAAGGCGAAGAAAAGGAAAGAAATGGAAAAGGGTTGAAGAGTAAAGAGGCTAGAAAATCACTGCCACAAAACACTAAACTGCTAGGGTATAACTGAGCTCTATAAAAGGTATTATGTATATTGAAATGCAAGATATTGTAGTAATATAAACGCTTACTTTTACAAAACGGGTCCATATAGGTCCATGTACCATTTGACAGACAAGTGCTGATTGTCTCTGTGTTGTTTAAGTTATAGCCCGCACCGCAGGTATATTGGATGGCATCACCAGGTGTGTAACAGTTCCCGAGAGTTTTATTCTCTACCAGACCATTCGCTGGAATAGGAGGACTGGAACACGTGATTACTGCATTTCGAAGATATAATTACAGATTATCTTTGTCATACAGTTTTCTTGAAACAGGGAAAACATGGCCTCTGTGCCTATGTCCCATGACAAAATTCCCTTTAGAGGGGTTGAAAGATTTAGAACTGTTAGGATTATTATGAAAATGATATGCACTGGTGTATTTCTATGAAGATGGACTAAGTTTAGGCTAATTCATTTAAGTCCACTTTCTTATGAATTGCAAATTGTAGAGCTCTTTATTCCTAACAAATCTGTAATTACGTAACAATATGATTTGAATCAAATGTATGACATAATGTAAAATGACATAAACCAATTTCATATAGGCGGATATTATTTTGTCTTTCATTCAGTTATAACATAGAAGTATGTTTATATATTTTTAAAATATTTTTCAGGACAGAACTGTGAGGTCGACATTTGGCGCTCCATAATAGTAAGACGAAATTCTAAACCCGGACTGAAAAGAGTGCGAAAGGGCGGATCAAGAAGTAAATTATGGAGGTCAAATTTGAGTAAATTTTTGGACAAGCAAAACAAAATAATCGTATTTCTTGTCTTTTTCTCCAAAATTCACTGACTAACAAGAACAAGAGAGAGAAAAAAGCAAATGCATCACCTCGAAAGGGGGAGGGCGGCACAGTTTTGGAGTTGTGTTCTTTATAGGTATGTCGAACGGTTAACAAAATGGAGGGGGAGGCAGACTGCAGGTCTAATGTGCCTCCTTTAATTCGCCATGGGTGTTACGAATAACAGTTATTGTTTACGAAACTTTACCTGTACAATTAGGCTTGTCACCCAGCCACTTTCCATCTATTCCGCAAACCCAAACGACGGCGTCAGCATCACCCTCCATAGTGAATCCATCATTGCATTTCCATGTTAGGTACGAGCCGACAGGAAAAGAGTCTTCACTTCCCAGCTGATGGTCTGTGGTACAGTTGGAACAGGTAGGGTCCGGGGAAACGCAGTCCGATTTTGCGTCATCTATTTGAAAAGTATACAACAATAAGTGACTGCGAAAAGGATCTTTGTGCATTTTTAGAGGAAGGAGAAGCATCATGGCAACCCATGTAGCCATGCATATCCAAACATTGTTTTGTCTTTCTTCGCTCCATAGTAAATAGTATGATTTCACAAATAGTTATTTAAAACAATAGTTTAAGTGTTATAGCAAAGGGATTAACAAAATCCTTTATGATCTATTTCATTAAAGACACAACGCGCTCTGTAAATGGTATGAAGGATTCCACAGTTTATTACTTGTTGGTTCATTCATTCTTATTGGAGGCTAGGGAAGTACCCTCCTATTTAGTTAAGAATGAACTAGCCTAGGTATGTTATTATTGCAACTTAGATAAATGATAATAACTTAAACATACATTGGAAATATAGTTTGTACTAATATGTATGACAAGACATACAAAAAGAATTAAGCTGCACGTGATTCGTCTTCGATAGTTACTCTTGTAATTGTTCTACTTGTAACATCTATTCAGTTCTATTAACATGAAGTAATGCGTTCAGAAAATAGACCAGTTGTCTAGATTAAAAAAAAATTGAAAGACCTAAATAATTTCACAACGAATCTAAAATTATCATCATTATTAATAGTTTTACTATGGCAATGATTATTTTTATTAGTATTATTGGAAGCAGAAATAGTAGTAGTAGTAGTAGTAGTAGTAGTAGTAACAGTAATGTCAGGAGCGGATCCAGGATTTCTCAGGGGGGGGGGGGGTTGCTCCCACAAATTTGAAAATCGCGCCGGCCGAATAGTAGCTAAAAAATCACATGTTTTTACACGGTTTTTTCCCAGGGGGGGGGGGGGGGGGCGCCCGGCCCCCCTGGATCCGCCACTGAGTAATGTATACCTACCAAAACTCCGTCCGATGGTTATGAGCACAACGATGAGCCACTTGTAATTGTCCATATTTTTATCATCCGGAAGAATTCGTGAAAGAGCAACTAACATAAGTCTATACAAAAGTTGACAGGCATTTCAGATCTCTTCAAAGTATCACACAATTGTTTTATAGGTGAATAAAACTTTCAAATGATGATTCGGCATAATCCGTTTATGCCTTAATAAATGAGGACATTGCTTATTGCCATCATTCAAACCTAGTCCTCGTGAAAGCTTCAATGTAATTCAAACATCATCTATTTCAATAGCATCGTAATATCATGCAGGGAAGACCTGTAAGCAACCGAAAACCTAAATCCATTTCTTTCTGAAAAGTGTACGCTCAATGAGCAGGACAAACTGCGTCCAATTTTTTTACTAATCGGCAAGAAGGAACCGAGAAGAATAATTCAAGAGTCCAATGTTTAATCGCCCTGTTCTTGTTTTACATGTTGACTTAACACGCAAGATTTAGATATTGTTTGCTAGGGACTGTATTGATTAAGATCAGTATGAGTATGTTTACTTACTCATTAGAGCGTCCTTAAATGTTCAATTATTTCAATGATGCGGTAACTTCATATCACATGGGCTGCCGAAATTGTTTGTTTATAAAAGCTCCACCATACCTTACCTACAAATTGAATCCATGTCACAATTACCTAACTACCACAAAAGTACACTACCAGTACAACCATCACCACCAATTCCACTATTACAACAAAACCACCACCGTCACTTTCACCTGAATCAACATGTTTATATCATTTGAAGAATTGTTCATTTAGAATACATGGAGCCATTTTCTGTTTGAAATCATTTAAAAAATGCAAAGGCTCCTCAAATGCAGTCAGTCACATTACAACAACCACCACCACTATACCAGTACCACCACAACTTCCACGATCATGATTATGTAAGAGTCGATCTCTGACAGATTTACCAAGTCAGAACCTTTGGACTGTCCGGGTAAATAAGCATTACGAAAAGGGGATTTCCAAAGCCTGTCCAAGCTTTTTTTCCTTCAAATATCCCTTTCTGAAAATCACATTCAACAAAATGCTGAAGAGGGGCGGTAAAATTGCATTTAAAAATAATTCATGTGTTTAGTTATATTTTTATCCTTTTGTCTGTTAAGTTTCTTAATCAATTGAATTATTTTGATCAAGTTATTTTCCTCAAACTTATATTTTAAGCTCAATCCTCTTCTTAACCAGCAAGATCGCAAAGACAATCGAAAATGAACCTGAGACAATTTTAGTATCACTCTACATCCCCATTGAAATGTGTGAACATTGAAATTACGCATTTCGTAATCTGAATATAAATTCTTGGATTTTCATTTACAAGTATAGGTGTTGAATTTGCCCTCGGTTTGGATTATTCTAGAGTCCCTGGGTTCATGTTATACATGGCTACTTGAATTAATCATTCTCGCAGCTAATATACGTCCATATCCTAAATATATGGGAGCGCTGTGGTATATTGATGAAAGCTCTTGGTCCTGATTATCGTACAATAGATCCTAGGATCATTATTGTAGGTGACTTAATACGCCATAATTGCAAAAAGGGGTTATTTGTTTTTGTCGTTAGGGTTCTGAATATGGGACAAGTGGGTTTAGAGCCATTAAACTGATTAAGTATTGCTATGATCATCTTTACTAATATCGTCGCACGTGTCTATAGACATTTTCTCCCAATTCGAAAGAGGAAGAACTGGGCATACAGTTATTGGCTTCAGTTAGGCAACAAGATGAAGGAACTTGAGCAATTTATTCTTCTCTGTCTTTTTGTGCACCTCGGACTAAACACCATTTCCTTATCGCCGTAGGTAAACATGAGATCTTTTCTGGTTCAAATTCTTATGATAATTGT